ATTTTGTTGATTATTTGTTACAATGGACGTTAAAAACTTATAAAATAATAATAAAAAATAATAAAAGGATATTATAGTATCATCGTCACCAACTCTAGCCACTGTTTCTACTCATGAGCAAAAATTCCACTCCGTAGATTTATAAATTGAAATAATATTTACAATCCGTTTGTTACGTCTCCAGTGCGTCTACGTCTACAGTCCGTCATACTATAAATCCGGCTTTATTCTTGTGAGGCTAGCGCGACGGGCAGTGGCGCACCCAGGGGGTTTTTGGGGGGTTACTCTACTCACCAGTTTTACTCCTACTACGGGTCTCAAGCGTTTCCAAACACGCTTTTATGTGGCAGTGACTCACAACTTTCACATAAAAACTCCCCTCCTCCCATAAACCAACATACCTTCTTCATAACCCCATGAGACAACCTTACGCCAAATAAAAAACCGATGGAGGCAACAAGCGGAAAAAACCCGTAAGCTAAGGCATGAGAAACCGTGCTGATGACTGGATGCTCACATGTAACGTGGTCTTTCTCTAGCTACTCGTGAGATTTATATGAATCGAAAAACACAAAAAAAACAATAACGAAGACAAGAGTTGTAGCAAAGGAAGAAAGAGGGTAAATTCTCTTCCAAACCTACCTTTAAAAGTTACGGGGACAAAAAGAAAAAATGAGTCGACAGAGGCAAATGAAATATATAAAAAAAAAGAGTCTTGTGAATACTTCTCTACCAAAAAAAGAGGTTGGGTGGCAAAACTGGAAAAAATCCTCTCAAAATTTTAAGAAAGACCTAGTAATAGACTGGCCAAAGAAATACAGATACGATCCAGCTGAAAAGATAATGGTGGATGCGGACACCCAGACCAATGCGTGGCATGGTGGTCCGAAAGCAAACCTCACAAATACAGAAAAAATCAAGACCTTTGACTGGGAAGTCTTGGTGGGTCACCAGAGGGAGGAAAAGTTTTCACTAGAACAAAGGTAGTTATCAGGAATCCAATCGAAACAAACAAGACTACGAAAGTAGTCTTCGTTGAGCCAAGGGATGTGTCCATGCAAAACAGCATCCAAAGACTGTATAGGTTCAGATACCCGGAACTGGTCTAGAGAACCCGTAGGAGGTCCTAGAGCAATCAACAACGATAAGAAATAAGGAGACTCAGATTAGAAAGATGGGACAGGGTACAAGAAAAATCTTTGGGAAAACATCCTGAAGGTAAAAGAAGAGGTGGGTCTGGACGGTAAAGTGGCATTACATCACGTCAGTTACCTCACCGTTGGAGACCTCAGAAAGATGTGTGAGGCTACTTTCCAGAAGAATGAAACGAAAGAACTAGTCTGCACGACGAGACAAAGAAAAGAGCGTCCCGCTTATAGTATGCTAGTCTCCAAAAAGGACATGCTAGTCTCCAAAAGGACTGTAGTCTCCAAAAAGGACGGAGATTACAACCAGATTTTGCAAGCGGTATAAACGGCCGTTAAGACGACTAGGGCCACGGAATCAGTCAGATCGATGAGGAGTACCAAAGATGGTAGGTTTCTCATCACTCTAGAAAAGTATCAAGCTGCCTTAAACAAAAATTAAGGCTGCATTAAATAAAAAGGAGGAAGGTTTGAGGGCCTTCCAGTTAGGGGATGAAGAAAAGTACCTTACCTTGTACCGTTCCCGTCATAAAAAACTGGTACAACTCTTGTAATCAAAAATCGTGATTTTTAAGTTGTGTACGTTGATCTTGTCATATGCGTCATTCTAATTTCTAGCGCACAGTTGCCAGTTCAACGAAAATATTATATCAAATCAGCTAAAAGCAGGACTGTGTGACAGACCGCCAGTTTAGAGTATACTTAAAACTAAAACATTATCGAGCATTTTTGATCACTCCGTCATATTAAATGTGTTTAAACATGCATTCTAAAAAATTCTCATATTAATTTTGTAATTTTCCATCATCGCAATTAAGTACTCATACATTGATTTTTGTTTTATAACAGTTTATGAAAATATTTCAATTCAAAAATAATGACAGATAATCAATCTAGACAAACTTCAAATTGTTATAATAAAACATTACAGTGAGATATTGGATTGTAACTGTGACGTTTTGAAAAGCGTTTTTTCGCCCCGAATATTTTATAGTTTATAATACGTAGGATAAAGTATAATGTTAGTTTTTCACATTTTTTATCATTCTTGTAATAAATAATAAATTAATCTTGGTAGTTTGCCTGTTACAAAACTTATTGACGCAGAATACAGTTCGAGTTCGGTAGGTATTTACATGATACTATGACTAACAAGATAGGATCTTCCCGTAGCAAAAAATAGGTCGTGTTCGCGCATGCCGTCATTGGAGAGTAGAATTTGAATTCTTGTTAAAGTTAAATGGGATTTGTATACATTCTGTGATGAAATTACTAGACGAAAATAAGTTAAGAGGTTTAATAATTACAATAATCGTACACATAAGAATATCTTCAAACTATTTATTTAAGATTATTTATTGATGCATACAAAAAACTGACATTTCGAACGTCAAACTCTCCAATGGCATCATGACTTATGCGCAATATCTTATCTTCTTAGTATCATGGGTAATTAAAGTATAAAATTACAGTAGACGCATTTCAATGTTCCCTGTGTCAATATCCTAGGTTTAAAGATCCTTCAAACATTTTGGATAATAACTCAATCCTATCTCTGCTTATTTAATTTATTAGATAGGTTTTTTTGTTGGTAATGATATAAATAATACCTATCTAAATATTTTATACATTTTTGGACGTTATTTTTTTATTTAGATTTGGTGCAATTCCGTTATCTGTAACGGCAACAACGAATTGATTTCTGAACACAGGTTTACATTGGGAAAAAAAAGTGTACCAGTTTTATATGACGGGAAGTGTACATTAAGGACATGTCTGCAGTAAGAAATAGTAGAGGCCTTTAATGAACAAGTCAGCAATTAGGACACATACAGAATAGGTAACTTAAGACTACTATGACGAGACACCCAGGCAACTACATGGTAGTCTTTGTGAGGGTGAGGAAAGTTATCCTCAGTAGAGGGTATATCAGAGTGGGAATAATTAGATGCAAGGTACAAAAACGTCTAAGACTTTTTAGATGTAGTAAGTGCTGGGCCTATAGGCATGACACGCTGAGTTGCAGAGAATAAACAAGAGCAATGCTTAGACTTATTATTATCTTTAACAACTAAAATTTATGGTTATAGTACTAACAACATTTGAGATTTTTTTTTTATTTTAATAGTGAAGGGCCAAAAAATGGTCTGCCTCAGAAAAGCATCCTAGCGCCGACTCTATACAATATATAATCAATGAACAACCCATCAACCAACCAACTAAATAATTTTAACCCACAAAAACATAGGTGTGTGTGTGTGATCATTATCTGAAGTAGATACTGCTCAAAGAACGCTGGAAGTAGAATGGCATAGCCAGAGATACCAACTTAAGCAAAAAGATATCTAGTTGCTTTGCTACCAAATCAGTTGCACACCAATTAGATTTCCACACTACAAAAATTGTTTATGTGGCTTTGATTAAATCTAATTTGAGATATATTGCCTTTTGGGTAGCTGTTCTCTTCATCATTTCAACAGACTTTTTATGCTACAAAAGAGAGCACTCAGATATTTATGTAAGGTAAAGTTTGGTACATCTTTGGAATACCTTTGTTCTAGAAACAAGGTATCTTGATACTCCCTTGCATATATATCCTTGAAATAGCATGCTTAATTTAAAAAAAAAACATAAAGAGGATATTCGGACAGAATCCTTTTATGACATTCATCTAACTTATGTTATTCCACTTCCAATTCCCTCTAGGGCTTCCCACATAATTAAAAATCATTTATTTACACTTGTATTCCGTAGAGGCAATGAAGAAGTTAATATTATCTAAGTGTTACTATGGTATGGAGGAATTTTTTGAGGACAGTTGCGTTAATTGATAGCTATGTTATTATGGAAATGATACAATTAGTAATTTAATGTATATTGTACTTTGTTAGTACTTATTTACATAATAGTAAAATGCCATACTAAAATACCTAATATCTATAATAAGTGAGATTTTTAGCATCTTATATAAATAAATAACTGAAAAAATAAAGTTATGTTCTAAATTGGTAGGTTTATTTCTAAGTATTAGAATACCCATTTTAGTTGAGATAACACAACCTGATCAGCTTTGTAGCTCAAATGCATTGTATATGAATTACTAACTAAAACAGAATCCATTGATATAAATTACAGCTATGCAGCGATTGTTCTCATTTATCCCACTAGTTCTGATTTTCCATGCAAAGATAAAATTGTTCATACTTTTCAACTAAGATTATAATTTCCACCTTTATGAGCTAACAATAGTACATTGTTTACCGGGTAGGAAAAGCTTAACATTCCTGGACGACTGTGAAGATTGCTAAGTCGAGGCGCAAGCCGAGACTTAGCAACACAGAATCCAGGAATGTGGCTTTTCCTACGAGGTAAACATACTATTTTTCCGCAAATCGTTTAAAATTCGACAGATATTGATTGATTTAAAAAAAACGCGATAATTTTATTCCCAAATAAATGGTGCTTTGAAATTCCTAATAAAATTACTTGGGTTACTATGGAAACGTATTGAGGTTGAATTGTCAAACTTATGTAGAACACTAACAACTGTACGGAAATATCATTTCCTTACAGTAAGGAAATGACATTTCCTTACAGTAAGGAAGTCCTGACTTTTTCTTCAAGAAATTTTGACAGGAATGTCAAAATTTCCTGGCGATTTGCGGAAAATTACTATTTTGCAATATCAAAATAGTAGAAAATAACTATATATATCACAGGAAGCAAACTACTCGTTTTAATAAAGCATATAGACTAGGGTACTATTGCTCATAAGCAAAATTGTTACGTCTGCATCAGTAAATGCTTCACTGTATCATATACTATTTTTTACAATAAAATATAAATTTGTTTTATTTACGTCTTTTTCTGATGATCACAATCATACTGTATCAACCTAGTGTGGAGTTCTAGGAACTGGTCCCAAAGTAGGTCAATTTTTTTGGAATATAATTCTGCACAGCTCTGTATGAAAAGTGCTGCTTCAGCGAAATTGATATTAAATATTCCATTGATTAGGTAGGCCTTTTGGCGAGTAACTTTGTCCCTGAAGATGTCTAAAGCCTAAAAGTAATAGCCTTAGTAAACATAACTAAACTTTATTTAAGAGAACCTTACTGAACTTAGTTCGTTATCTAATTGAGGTTTTTTACGTAATTTTTCCAACTTATTGATTAGTTTTCCGATTTCGGATCTATTATCATAACCTTCATCATCCATTTCAAATAAATTAGAAATGATAATTGCTAAATATTCCAATGAACTCCTAAAAAATTATAAAATTATTAAAAAAAATCCTAATAGTAAACAAAACATTAGTATGTTTGCTACCTGTCGGGTTTTCATATATTATATTTAAAATGTGTTAATAAATCAATGTAAATAAAAACATATATTGTATAATATTTTTGAAAAATAAACAAACGCCAATGCCATTTTGTTTTGCTTTTACATGTAGTTCTCAGCGTGTTAGAAAATTTTAATGTGTTGTAACTAAATAGTGGTTTCTCTTTTTAAAATAAATGTTAAAAAAAGATAAAGATAGTATTAAATTGGAAAACTTACACTTCGGAGCATGCGTATTAAACACCGATGTCACTTCCTTGTTTACCAACACGGTTGCCATAACGTATTGGTGTAATACAGTTAAATTGAGCGCTTTTTTAGTTAAAAGTTTATAATTTCATTCTTATAGAATATCACCTTTAATTGAAGCAATATTGGATTGGAATTTCTAACTGGGTGAAATTTATGTATTGAAAAATTATTTACTTATATAAATTGTATATCATTTAAGTACAATTGATTTTCTTACGTTTTTTTTTTAAATTATATGGCTAGTAGGTATTATATTATAATTTGAAGGAAAATGTAATTTAATTTTGATGAGGTTGAAAAAAGTTAATTATTGCTACTGATAAATAATTGCTGTTATAAAATACAAAAGTACAAAAAACCACGTTTGTGATCTGTTATCCATAAAACTAAAAATGTCCAATAATAGCAAAAGAATATAGACGCTTCTATGTTCTTTGAAGCGTCTGAGAAGCGTCTATATTTTTTGATAATAGTCACCAAGTTTTGATTTCTGTATTATTCCATGCAACTCTTTTCGATTTCTTTATCTTCTTGTTACTGCTTTTGTTGTCTGTTTATAAGACACGAGTCTGTTCTGTTAAAATTGTAGGTATGTACTCATAACAAAAGCAATAGCTGCCAACATTATTTTTTTATATTGGAATAGTCTTAATAAGGACAGATAGGCTGCAGTTTAACCACAGGTATTTATTGAATTTAAATAATTTTTTAAATATATTAAAATCAACAACACGATGTTGCTACGTAAAGTTGATAAATATCGATAACGTCTCGTAAGATATAGCCGCAATATTAAATTTTTTGAATGTTTTACCCACGATAACATTATCTGTTTCCGTAAATTATCAAATTCAGTGATACTCAGTCAAGGATTTTTAAACATTTTACAAATTAAAAATGTGAGAAGAGTTCAATACTTCATTTAATTATAGCGATCCAAGAAACCAATCCAATATTCAGTGTTTCACTTAATATTATCCTTCTATCTGTTATCTGATCCAACACTAATGATAATAAGACTAAGCACTGAGTCTTGGTGCAATCCTACTTTCATGTAAAATTTATGAGTCTCTCCTACGCTAGTCCTAATATGAGCGTCTATTTCTTTCATCATCATCATTATCAACCTGTATGCGTCCACTGCTTGACATAGGTCTCCCTCAGCTCTTTCCATTTGTCTCTGTCTTGTGCGACTTGCATTCAGATACTGCTAACACGCTTCAGGTCGTCAGGTCAGTCCATCTAGTTAGTGGCTGGTTTAACCAGTGGTCTTTTCGGGGCTGTAGCACCGGACGGTATGCGCGAAGCGCACCTTTAAACTTTAACTTTAAAGACCCAGCAATTTGGCAAGATTGTCACATTTATGCAGAAATGATTCTAGAAAAATGGGTCGATCAGAATCTTACAGATATGGACTTTTTAATGTCAAAAAGAAATTTCGGCGACCAAAACAGGTATGCCAGTGCAAAGATTTTATTGGCGAGGAACCGCAAAGTGGGCGACGCCTGGTGATAGATTTCAAAAGCATCCACTTCACGAAAACATTGAAATCGCGACCGGTTTATATTGTAATTAACAATGACTTCGACTTAAAAAACTATTGTAGTGTTCCCCAATGTTCGTCCTATTAAAATTCACAAAAAAATTCCATACATAAGTTTCCGCTGGACGAGAATATGAGAAAAGTTTAGCAATGCATTTTGTGAATTGGCAAACATATAACCAAGTACGTGGCTGTGTGCAGTTTACATTTTACTGAGAACGATTACTTTCCAAGTGTTGATTAAAGTATTATTTATATTTTAATATATTTATACTTAATTTACTTTATAGAAATACCTGGAACTGAATTAAGAAGACTGAAGAAAAATGCTGTTCCATCAGCTAAATTACCCCAACAGTCTCATGAAGTTATTAGTAGAAAACGTAAGGCGTAATTTACAAAATATAACGTGGCCAGCTCCAAAAACTGCCTCACTCTCAACTAAAGATCTCTGCCGATCTTGCAACCATATAAATAATTAAGATAATGTAAATTTTACTTCCCGTGTTTCAGACATACTGTAGAAAAACAAACATTTAATTTTATTTTTATTTAGGTTTGGGAGTCAATTACCTTATGTATAAACTCGAATCACAAACAAATAAACTTTGAAGAACGTACTTCAACTTTTACTTTGGCAAAACACACGTGTAAATGATTTATATTAAACGTTTTATACTAGAGATCAAATGACAAAATGATTTGTTTTCCCGAAAGTATCGCCCATCTTTAAAATCTTCAGCGCCCCCTGTCGGAATTGCCTATCACGAATAAAAAACTGGAGAAGTGGTTCACCGCGATTGGGCAATTTACTCCGAGAGTACTAGCAATATACTATTTTGTCTTTATTGTGTCTTAGTTGAAAAAAAGAACCAATTTAAAACAGGATTTTCATTATTGAATAAAAGTAAGGAAAGATATGACTAACATGAAAGATCCAATCATCATATAGATAATCTGAAAATTTATACGACTCACTTAATTAAAGCAAGGAAGAGTTGATGTAGAAGTCGAAAAGGAAATTAGCACTAGAAGAAAGAATATTGGGTTAAAGAACTAGAAAGAATTATAGGTGTAATAAAGTTTCTGGCTACCAGGGAATTGGAATTTAGAGGTACTCATGAAAGAATTGGCGAAAAACGGAATGGAAACTACTTGGGTTTACTGGAACTATTGTCAGAATATGATCCATTTTTAAAAGATCATATTAATAAACGAGCAAATTTAGGTAAGAGCACAACTTCGTATCTATCAAAAGATTAACGAATTACCAAATATTTTGTCCAATCGAGTCATTGATGAAATTGTTAGATAGATAAATAGATAGATAGTTTATTTGACTGTAAGTTACAACTAGGTTTACAGCAAGTCAAAACTAAAATTATAAATATTAAATATTACAAAAAATGGAAACAATACATTAAAAATATTTAAAACATTAAAATACTTAAAAAACCTACAATACATATAATTAAAATAATAATAAGTTTGGTTATGTTGCAGCTTAGGCATGGGCAAGGACACATGATCACTAGGTACTCTTTGACTTGGTTTTTAAAAGCTGTAGTTGAATTCATGTTTTTAAATTTGATTAGGCAAATAAAGGCAAACAAATACTATTCTATAAGTGTAGATTCATCACCTGACATAACACACCATGACCAACCTACAGTGATTTTGAGATATTGTAACAATAAAGGGAATCCCGTGGAAAGATTCTTGGGATTTTATAAAAACACTGGGCATCGCTCACAAGATTTTGAGGAAACAGTTATTGGGATGTTTAGAGTCTTTGAAATTAGATATTATAACAACTGTAGAAGCCAGTCTTATGACAATGCCAGTATATGAATGGCAAGTATTCTGGTTTGCAAGCACGTATTCAATTTTACAAAGATTTAGCTCTCTTTGTGCCAGGTGCTGCTCACTCTTTAAATTTGGTTGTCCAAAATGCAGCAGATTGTTGTTTGGAAGCAACATCTTTTCTATGTTGGTACGGGCTATCTACAATGTTTTCTCCGTGTCTACATACAGGTGGGAGTTATTGTCTCGTGCAAAGGATTCGCCTGAGGCGGGACAGACACTATTACCTAAAAGAGTGAATACAACCCGTCGGTATTCTCTTTTTGATGCCGAAAAAGCGTTACAAAGCAGTTACGGTTTAATTAAAATATGTTTGATTGAAATGTCAACGGATATAAATAAGAAAAATGTAAAAGTTAAAGCAGCTTCTCTATCGGAAAAACTTGATTTGTTGGAAAACGGAATAATTTTGTCATTCTGGCTTGACGTTTTACAAAGGGTTAACGAGGTTAATAAAAGAGCACAAAAGGAAAATATGGATTTAAGCACAACCGCTCATTTACTTTAATTTCTTACGTGATCGTTATGATCACTACGAATCCTTAGGAATGTTGTTAACAGGGAACGAAAATTATCAAAAATTATCAAAAAAATTGCAATTAGGAGAAAATAATTTGGATGTAAGTTTAAGCCGAAAAAAAAATCGCGAAGAGAATGTTACGTTTTTATAATAGACAATCTTAAGTCGGAGATTATTCGCCGAAGAACATTTGAATATTTGGTTAAACTAAAGACTAGGAAAGAAAAAGATATTTTCAGTTCGGCAACCGAATTACACCGGTTCTTACATATGGTGCAGAAAAACTGACTCTGACAAAAAGAACAACAGATAAAATAATAGTTACACAACGCGCAATGGAAATATCAAGATTAGGTATTACCATCAGAGATAAAGTACCAAACCTAGAAATAAGGTGACCAAGGCAAGAGGCATATCGAAGCAAAACAGACCACAAACTGGATGCAAGAAGCTCAAGATAGAAATAGGTGGAAAAATTTTATGAGAGGCCTACGTTCAGCAGTAGACAAAGATAGGCTAATTGATGAACCGAATTACAATAAAAATATAACGAGAATTTGGATGAGTATTTTAAAGTAAAACGAAAAGACTTGACGACCCTTGGCGAAAAGACTGGAAGGTCACGGGCTGTTTTTTTCATTCGACCTGGTTTCTTTCTTTCGACCTAATTCTTTTATTTTGTTAGTATTCATTTAAGTTTCAGACTGTGTTAAACCGGCACTATATATAGTTAGTGGGCGTCCTCTGCTCCGTATTGTTTCTTGTCTTGGTCACTCTAAAATACGTTTTGTCCATCGGTTGTCTCATAATCTGGCGACGTGTCCTGCGTAACTCCATTTTAACGACGCGATTTTTTCGATA